TTTTCATTTTTTCTGAAAAGGTGGTGTCTATTTACTTGAGACCACGCTGTGTAATAACTCACCCCAAACAGAGGTGAAAAAAAAACAGAATGCCGAATTTCATACTTGTTATTTTGAAGTTTGTAACGATTAGAATTGAAAAAAAACAAACTGTTTTTAATGTTTTACTGACATTTATACTGAGTTTTGATTCTCTGCTCATTTTTTTATGTTGTATCTTGACTAATTTGAAACATTTTCTAACTACTCTATTCGTCGTAAATACTTCGACTGTGACATAAATATTTTATTGCTATTAGTGGTCGTATGATAGCAGTTTACAAAGAATAAATAAATGCAACAATTGATAAAACTAGTTACCTAGCTCTGTTAAACTGCAGTAGTATCTTCTCGGTCGTGATGAGACGGTGTGGTTGGCATGGTCAAAAAAACAGAAAAAGAAAACAATAAGGATACGCGTGTAACGCAGAAAGCATCAACTAAATAATGCTTAAAATTAATATGTTCAATGACAATAATTGTCACCATTGATGTTTATGCAATAAAAGTTGCCACAAAAATAAGGTTTGAGGCAACTTGTTCTACTCTTTCCCTATCATTATTCCTATTCAAAAACACTAGACCAACTACATGAAATAAATTAGAGACATAGAGAATCAACTCAATCGTAGTCACTTCAGTCTAGTCTAATACACCAAAGGTAGATTTTGTTAATTATTATCATCTGAGATATCGCACAATTAGCTATAAAATAACCAAAACACTGAAAATAAAATTATGCTTAAACACCAACAAATCAATTAGTCAAGTAACAATATTACATGATTCTTTAAAATCATTCAGGTATGATAAAATAAAAGAAACGTATTTATTTATTGAACAACTAAGAGACACTGCATTATTACGTGTTTTATAATTGATATATGTATATTGGATACATACATTACTTTATTGGTTGTTTTATAAAAACGCGTTTGATTATCAGTCATTGTATATTTTTGTGATGACCAGATATTTTTGATATAAACGCTAAATTGTTACCAGTTTCATAATATATTAGGTCGTCAAGAAATTAATGTCGCGTTTTGTAACACTTTCATTAACCACCCCCCAAAAAACGTACATCACGTATAATAGTTAAGCGAATTACCTAAACGTCACGTTAGTGTAGCCTATATAATGTGTAAAGTTTACTTTACTCTAATCCCTTATATTGATGGCACACGACGAGACACACAT